CTCCGCAATCTGAAATGACACAGATGTTTTCCCTCGTGATAACATGTGCACGTAAATTTCGGAGGAAAAAAGCCCAAGAATTTGTATCTTCTCCTTCGACAAGAGCAAAAGCAACTGGAAGAATGTTGCGATTGCCATCTTGGACAACTGCCAATAATAAAACTTGCTTGTATTTTCCATACAAGAAAGTCTCGTCGATCTGGACCACAGGCTTGCAGTATTTGACAACATTAACGCACTGTGGGTAACTCCAAAAAGCCTGGTAGAATTGGCATCGATCGCGAAGAACTCGATCATTACGGTATGCATAGGAGGTTTCGAAGTCCACAATTGTCCCATGATTCAACGTCCGCACCAGCCTAAATCAACCTGGAAGTTCGTTGTAAGATGCATCCCATTCGCCATGAAGTTTGACAATGGCATTTTGTTTTGCCAACCAAGCTTTTTTATAGGAGACAATGTACCCATACTGCGATTGTATAGCTAAAATCAACACTGCAACAGCTATATGAGAGCTTGTTTTTACCATGGGTATGATGGCTTGGCATATCATTTCAGAGTCCAAGTTGGGATAATCTTGGTTGACCCCTCCAGCATAACATGTGTGAGGACCGTTGTATACTGTTAGTTCCCATATGTTATTTTTCCTCTTATTTTTTATACTCGAACAATCCAATTGCATCTGTTTGCGCGTCTAGCACAGTAGCATACATATTTTTCGGTCGTGGATCGGTTGACTGTGAACTGAACAGAATTACGAATATTGTAATTTTTTATAGTCATCATCGCTTCTTCTTTGCTTGAAAACTCCATGCCTAAAGATAACTCACCATTATTTATTGATGAGTAATATCCATAGTCACCGAGATGAGGCATATCCGTAAATTCTGGCCCATAATCAGCTTCATACATGTGTGCAGGAGGGTCAGTTTGTACCATATTTCCTGGAACTTCATCATCATCGGAGTTGAATTGCGGTGATTCTGGGTGAATGAATAGTCCAGTCTCAACACCATTCGTACCAGGCTCACGAAGCGGTTCTTCTGGTGGAGATGATGGTTCCTCAATGCGCTCCACATTTAGGTCGAAGAACCTACTACTTGCACGTCTTCCCCTTGAACTAGAAGGCATATCGACATTGAGATCGAAAAAGCTTGCAGTCGAATGCCTCCCCCTGGAGCTTGAAGCCATCGTGTCAAATGGAAACTGCACAGATGGTTGCGTCGATGACATCTCCACATGGTCAAAGAAATTTGCAGATGAATGTCTTACCCGTGAACTGGACGCGGTGTTGCCATACGGATTGTTCATGGACCCACCTCGGTACATATCGTAAGGAGTTACGGATGAATGTCTCCCCATTATGACATTAAAATCATTACACAATACTGTAGTCGGGCTGTCAACTTGATCAACTTGTTCAGCCAACCCATAGTGGGAGCTTAATGATTGACCCCGAACAGCACGCGCTTGAAAAAAATGTGCATACATCTCAATATCGACGTCTGAATAATTACTTTGAGCTTCAACCATCATTTCAACATCATCATTGTTCGAAAGTTCGAACACTGTATAAGTTAATGGCTACAATGACGTTGGAAATATGTACTGCAACGACGACATTCTTCTACTACTTCCAACATGAATCTTCCTCGAAATCTTCGTTATCAGCTCCTCAAGAGTTATGTTTCTCTTGAATGATATTTTAACACGCTCATTTGATACGAAAACAACGCCGGTTTCATCTTCTCGAATTTCACCATCATAATAAACAATAGCTGAAAGTCGCGTCATTCTTTGAGTTTAAAAGTGCGGCAATATTAGATCTGCAAAAAAAATAATTAAAACAAACTTGATTAAATAAATAATATATGAACGAAAATATAACACAATAAAATTTTGACACATCAACGTAAATAATTTAAATAATATAATTTTATATTATTATCTGCACCGCAAAACTATTTCGACGTATGCTCTCGCTTTCCAATTTTACAAACACATAAATTAATTGAAAATAATTAGTATAATATTTTTTCAAATAATCATAATAAACAATAAGTATAATAAAAAAATTATAACAAAATTACCTTATAACGAAAACTCACACGAACTTCTAAATCAAATATGAGAAGATTGCCAGAATTATTGACTCGTTGACGGAATTGTTGTATTAATTTATAAGTTGAGAGGAGAGATGTGAGGAACTTAACAGGGGAGAAGGGTATTTATAGCCGAAGTCGCTATACAATGCGCGGTACCTGCACCGCGCCTTATATAATTATATAAAAGTATGGCGTGACCCCTGCCCCACGCTATATATAATTCAAAATTAAAGGTAAGGCGCGGCCCCTGCCCCGCGCTATACCTCTACGTGGCGTAAGACGCGCCCCAGGGGTCGCGCTATACCCACATGTATCCATGTCAGCATAAGGCGCGCTTCAAGGGAGCGTCTTACCCCACGTGGCGCCAAATCAGCATATAACGCGGTACATGAGGCACGCTGTACTGCTAAGGGTGTTAGATCGGGAAATATAGTCTGACTGGTGTTAGATCGGTAAATATACCGGTCACCGGTGATTTTTTCCGGGAAAAACGCCCATAAAATCAGTATAATAAAATGTAGACAAATGTTACCCAATTATAAAGACGGTTCGGGAGATGAAAATTCAGATATCCGATTTTTCGGATCGGATACGGATTACTATTTTAGGTATCCAAAATTTTAAATATATAAATTTTCAGATCAAATCGAATTTGATATCCGAATTTATACACTGCTAGTTGTGGGGGACTCAACCACATGCCCCCTTAGCATTGGTTAAGTCATGCTCTTGCAATTTCGTATGGGTCTTGGGTGTGTTAAATGAACATTTCCATGAACTACATAAAAAGTGAAATTTAATTGAATTAAGCACATCGCGTAGGAACCGTGTTATCATCCTTCTTAAAGATGGCTTGTCGTCCTCGTCACGTAAGAATTGTGTCATCCATCGACCAGACCTCCTCAAGTGTAATGGTGACGCCTCGCCCATATTGTTGACCATTAATAAACAAGTGAACGGTAGAGCACATTAGACGATAAGCAAGTCAAGCTCAGCTGCCACAATTTTCCTTCAAAATCGAAATAAAGAAAGAAGCAGTCAAGACTCCAATGAATTCTCACATTTAAATTTCTCCTATTCAAACATTCCTTTTTCTCCACGAAAGACTAATAACATACATCTTTGAATATTTCTTCTTCTTTTGTTAAATACAATTTTATATTATCCAATAAAATAACAACAAAATAATCAACTTCTAGAATCCGATCATATAAAATTCTAATTACAGTCTCTAATACATTTTTTTATTCTGTTAGTAGTTTCATTAAGATATTTGTATCGTTGATGATTAATAAGAGGAGAAGAATTTTATGGTCAGATATAAAAATTTATTGTTTTAATTTGAACAAATAATTATAATAATCAGAAGATAATAAACAAAGGAAAGAGACAAATTTGAATATTTTGAAATTTTAGAAAACTCAAATTTTCTTGTGTTCTCTTTTATTCTTTCTTGAGCTCGAACTTGAACTCAGATCTCGATCTCATCCAATGTTATTATGTGATATTTTAAATTTATAATCAAAATATTTTATAAAATAAGTTGGCGTCTAAGTGTTCAACTCTCATAAAAATCAAAGGGAAACCATAGTCAAATTTTTACATGGATCAAATCATTGTTTATTCGTTGATGTGAACTTTCATAGAAACTTACCAACCAACAACAACAGTGAAAAGCTTTACAAAATTTTCTTTGTGAAAGCAATGGTTTTAGTCAAACACACACACCCCCCATAAAAAAAGAAATTGTCCAACAATTTCCACAACCAAAAAAATAAAGGCTAAATTATACATTTAGTATTAGTTTTGGTCTGTTTCAGTAACTAAAGTTTCAGTTTTTTAAAAAACTATACCAAAAGTTTAGTTCTTTTCATTTTAATACCCGTTCAAAATTTAACGTTAAGTTAAAAAAATAAAAGTTTACGTACTGAAACATACCAAAACTGATAGTTTAGGTACTAAACGCGTGAAGTTTTTAACATCGGCTACTAAAATAAAACAAAAATTAAATGTTAGGTATGATTTTGAAAAAATTGAAAGTTTAGGTACTAAAACTGATAGTTTAGGTACTAAATGTGTAGTTTACCCAAAATAAAAGTTAAATTGTGTTGTTAATTCCCGATCTTGGTAAGTTTAAGATTTAGCCAATGTACTTAAAAGGTTATAAAAAATGAATTGGAATACGTTTTTTGTATGAAAATTCTAGTCCAACACAATTAAATATATATATATATTGAGTTAATTGTATCACATATCCTCAAACTATAACATTAATTCCAAATTTGTCTCTAAAAATTTAAACATTTCGGTATAATTTCAAAACTATGCATCTTATTCTAAATTGATCCCAAACTTTAGAGTATTTCAAATTCATACCTAAACTATAATCCCATTCTAAATTGGCCCCTAAACTTTTGAACATTCCAATAACACGCCCCAAAACCATTCAAAAATTTAGGGATAAAATTGGAATATTCAAAAGTTTAGGGGTCAATATAGAATAAGAGTCATAGTTTAGGGATGAATTTGGAGTGTTTAAAAATTTGGAGATCAATTTAGAATTAGTCATACTTTAGGGCTGATATTAGGATATTCAAAAGCTTAAGAACTAATATAAAATGAGAGTCATAGTTTAGGGGTGTATGGTCAATTAACTAATTGTTTTGGCCAAAACTTAGAATTAAGATTTTTAAAACGAAAAAGTTCTATTTGCATAAACTAAATCCCAAAAGTCACTTAAGTAGAGGGTCTAGCAGCAAATTTGACCAAAACTGAACCTGCTTCAAAACTCAAAAGCTCGTAAATGGCTTGTTGAGTCTAATGTCCTTCGTCAACCCAATAGCTTGATGTTACCTTAACCGGTCAATATGGGCGGCTAACCAACCCCATGTTTCAAATTGATGGATGTTTAATTAATCCTTACTTCAAAAACAAAAAAAATTACGAAAATTGGTTACAAAGATGAAAAAGAAGGCTGTTCCATGGCGTTTTACTCTCTTCACCTTCTTGATTACTTGTATGTTCTAATATCCTTTTTATCCCCTTGATTATGACTTTTTTTCTCATTATATGCATGAAAATCTTTCTTGGGTCAGCTTTTATTCTTCACTTTCGTGATTTCCCAGGATGATTCTGTTAAATTTATTACAATCTTTGTTTTAACTGTCGTGTTTTTGTTTCAGGTATAATGGTTGCTGGAGATTCTTTAGAAACAGACAAAGAAGTACTGCTGAAGCTCAAATCTTTTCTGCAAGAACAAAATCGAGTGAATCAAGGGAGATATTCAGAATGGAATAGGGAAAACTCTAGTCCATGTCAATGGCATGGAATCTCATGTTCTTCTTCTTCTTCTAATGGCCTAAGAGTCATTGGCGTAAACCTTTCGGACAGCAATATTTCCGGGAAAATGTTCGATAATTTCTCGGCCTTAACTGAAATCCGACAACTCGATTTGTCGAAGAACACCATCGATGGAGCTATACCGGACGAGTTGAGCCAATGCAGAAGCCTTGCATACCTTAACTTATCGCATAATCTCATTGAAGGGCAGTTGAACTTATCAGGTTTGAATAGTTTAGAGATACTTGATTTGTCTACGAATAGATTTCATGGGGATATTCATGTTAATTTCCCAGGAAGCTGCAGGAGATTGATTGTTGCAAACGTTTCAAGTAACAATTTCACTGGTTTGATTGACTTCTTTGATGAATGCTGGAATCTGCAGTATCTGGATTTGAGTTCCAACAACTTTGTTGGTAATATATGGACTGGATTTCCCAGGCTTATCGAGTTTTCAGTTTCTGAAAACTCCGTTTCCGGGCCGATTCCAGGATCGATATTTCCGAACAACTGCAGTCTGCGGATGTTAGACCTTTCGGTAAACAAGTTTCAGGGTGAATTTCCCGGGGAGATTTCGTATTGCAAGAACTTGACTGTGTTGAACGTCTACGGAAACGAATTCACCGGGAAAATCCCATCCGAAATCGGGATGATTTCGAGTCTGGAAGGCTTGTTCTTGGGGAACAACAGTTTTTCAAGTGTGATCCCAGAAACCCTTTTGAATCTAACAAATTTGGAGTATTTAGACTTGAGTAAAAGCAACTTTGGTGGGGAGATTCAAGAGATTTTTGGGAGATTTACACAGTTGAAGTTCCTTGTATTGCACGGAAATTCATACAAAGGAGGGCTGCATTCTTCAGGGATTCTCAGATTACAAAATTTGTCTGCTTTGGATCTAAGTTACAACAATTTCACTGTTCCATTACCTGTTGAAATCTCTCAAATGAAAGGCTTGACTATCTTGATGATGGCTCACAATCAATTTACAGGCAATATCCCACTTGAATATGGTAACTTGCTTCAGTTACAAGCCCTTGATTTGTCCTTCAACAACCTTTCGGGACTGATCCCTCGAGAATTCGGAAAACTGAGCTCTCTGTTATGGCTGATGCTTGCAAACAACTCCCTTAATGGCGAAATCCCACCTCAAATAGGCAACTGTTCGAGTTTACTATGGCTGAACCTTGCCAACAACCAACTCTCTGGAACTATTCCACCTCAGTTGGTAAGGATAGGGACGAATGCTACTTCGACTTTCGAGTTAAACCGGGTACGGTCACGAGACCGGTCGCGATCCGGTACCGGCGAGTGTGCGTCGATCAAGCGATGGATTCCGGCAGACTACCCTCCTTTCAATTTTATGTATACAATTCTCACTAGGAAAAATTGCAGAAGTATATGGGATAAGTTGCTTAAAGGTGTTGGCATTTTCCCAATGTGCAGTGCAGGTTCAATGGTGAGAACATATCAAATCTCGGGCTACGTTCAGCTTAGTGGAAACCGGTTTTCGGGTCCGATTCCTGCAGATATCGGTTTGATGCAAAATTTCAGCATGTTGCATTTGGGATTCAATGGCTTCGAAGGTGAACTGCCTGCAGAAATTGGCCGGCTTCAACTTTCTGTCCTAAATATCACTCGGAACATGTTTTCTGGAACAATTCCAGCAGAGATAGGGAATGTCAAATGTTTGCAGATGTTAGATTTGTCGTATAACAACTTTTCTGGCATGTTTCCAGCAAGTTTGAACAAGTTGTCTGAATTGACCAAGTTCAACATTTCATACAATCCCTTCATTTCAGGTGCAGTTCCGACAATCGGTCAATTCGCAACGTTCGAGAAAGAGTCCTACCTCGGAGATCCGCTGCTCCATGTCCCAGATTTCATTGCTAATCGAACGGATCACTTGGTAAAAAATCATAGGAGGCATAGAAAATCTGTCAAGTTGGCTGTGTTTTTGGTGTTATTAGGCCTAACTCTGGCCTTTCTAGTATTCGGAATTCTGTCTCTTTTGGTGTTATTGGTGAGAATCCCTGAAGAACCAGCGGGATCTCTCTTATGGAATACGAACTTCCGACACAATTTGACATCGAGTTCTGGCGGTTCATCGCCATTGTTCTCAGACACTGTCAAGGTCATCCGTTTAGACAAAACAGCATTCACTCACGCGGATATTTTGAGGGCTACGGATAATTTTTCGGAGGATAGGGTTCTAGGGAAGGGGGGATACGGAACTGTGTACCGCGGAGTATTGCCGGATGGGAGAGAAGTAGCAGTCAAAAAGCTACAAAGAGAAGGGATAGAGGGCGAAAGGGAGTTTCGGGCAGAGATGGAGGTTCTTCGACAAAACGGCTTCGGTTGGCCGCACCCTAACCTTGTACCACTTTATGGTTGGTGCCTTGATGGTTTAAAGAAGATACTGGTTTATGAGTACATGGAAGGCGGAAGCCTCGAAGACGTTATAACAGATCAAGTGCGGTTAACATGGCGGAGACGGATCGACATGGCGGTCGATATTGCACGGGCATTAGTGTTTCTACACCATGAATGCTACCCTGCAATTGTGCACAGGGATGTTAAGGCCAGCAATGTATTGCTAGATAAATACGGGAGGGCAAGAGTCACGGATTTCGGGCTAGCGAGAGTTGTCGATGTCGGAGACAGCCACGTGAGCACGACAGTCGCAGGAACCATCGGTTACGTAGCACCAGAATACGGGCATACTTGGCAAGCTACGACGAAAGGTGATGTTTACAGTTACGGGGTATTAGTAATGGAGCTCGCAACCGGGCGGCGAGCTGTGGACGGAGCAGAAGAATGCTTGGTCGAATGGGCGAGACGCATCATGGGCAATGGAGAAAACGGATTAGTCCAAGCCATAATACCGGTGGCGCTTGATGGTTCAGGGCCAACCGAGGGTGCCGTCGAGATGTGCGAGCTGCTTCAGATTGCCGTCAGATGCATTGCCGAAACACCACAAGCTAGACCAAACATGAAAGAAGTGTTGGACATGCTAATTAGAATAACAAACAGTGAGACAGATTTTACGGTTAGAATGTCAAATAGTTATCAGATTACAGAGGTTTACCACACTTGAACTTGTCATACGGAATTGCGTTCTACACAGGTGTATATATATACACATATTTAGCATTTTCCATGCATATAAAGGCTTGTATTTATATATTTACAATAATACATTAAAATGAGTTGGTCCATGTAATCACTTATTTAAGTAAAAGTATTCAAATAATACAAGAGTCCAATGGGATTGTGGTTTGAGGATGGGCATATTTGTGAGCAAGAAAAGGCTCATGATTGCCTCAATTATTGCAGAGTGGGTGTGTTTCCATGAGCCCTAGTGGTCCGTTTTTTCCCCAACACGTTTTTTAAACTTTTACCAAAATAATAAAAATTATATTTTATTGAAATTCATCATTTTGAGGTGGTAAGTTTAAATAAAAATATTATTTAGATAAACTCGCTACTCAACTTGACGGGATTCTTAAATACCGTAACAAATGTTATAGATCGCAAATTAAAATTTTGACATTCATATTTTATAAATTTTATTTTCGGGCCGCCGTATTGGAAAAAAAACCCTAGTGGACATCTACCTTCATTTAATCCAATGAGAACTAAAATGGTATAATTTAGTGATGATTAGTTAGAAAACCTTAATTTAGAATCTCAATTATCATAAACTGAATGTTTGATTCGCATGTGAGAAAAGAGAAGTAGTTTGTGGAGGCGCCATTGATGATCTCAACTTTGGACAATTTTTGTTCATTTTCCCAACAACTCATTCACTTCAATTTCAGATAGAGATGATGACTATCCAAAGATAATTAATCGTTATTAAAAAAAAGAGTAAACTACAAATTTTGTAACTGAACTCTATTCTCTCTTTTATTTTACTCACTGTACTTGAAGTCTTTTCAATTTCCTCATTGAACTTAATTCATTGGATATTTTGTCACTTGGCCGTTAAATATAGGGATGGAAATTTTACCTGTATCTAACCCGATCGGGTAGGATTTTTTTTTAAAAAAAATCGGGTTTGACTCGGGTCGGGTTTTGGTTGGAGGGTGAAAAAACTCCGACTTGACCCAATGATAATAATGTAATTTCCTTAAAAGTTTTATTATCATTTTTAATTAAATCCTTAATTTATAATGGGTCTGGTCAGATTTATATTCTAAATAATTGAGTCGAGCTAGAGTCGGGTCGGAAGTAGGATATAAAATTTTAGGGTCAGGCTGGATTCAGGTGGAGGGTATATATTTTTGGTCCCGACCCATTGCTATGTCTAGTTAAATAGTTAACGACATTAAAATTGGATGTTATATAGGTGCTAAATAATGTATTTTTGGTGAAACTTTTGGTTTTTAAAATTGTGTTGTTTCTAATGCCATAACTATTTAACAACAAAGTGATCAAAATAAGAGAGAAAATAAAGTTCAACGATGAAATTTACTATTTATCCCAAAAGAAATATATAGATTAGGCACTTCTCTATGCATTGTTCGAATTAGAGACTGAATAAATATAAATATATGTTCGTATTATTATCTCTGACTCCTGGCTATCATCCTTTTTGTCTTAAGATTGATTTAGATATCAAAATATTTTCTAGGGTTCTAATCCTAGAGTTTATTGTTCATCACAAGTGCTTTGATTTGACTCGATCCTATCACTGAAATTTTATCCCCAAACCATGATTCACATTCTAAAATGATTCTAAACTTTTAAATATTTTAAATTCATCTCCAAACTATGACTTTCATTTTAAATTACTCCCCAAAATTTTGAACATCCCGATAATGTCTCCTAAATCATTCAAATGTCTGGAGGTAAAATTAGAACATTAAAAAAATTTGGGGATTAATACGGAATACATGTTATATTTCGAGGGTTAATTTGAAATATTCAAAAGTTTGGGATCATTTTAGAATAATTGTCATAGTTTAGAGATAATATTATAAAATTAAAAAGTTTAAGAACCACTTTGGAATAAAAGTCATAGTTTAAGGATTATAGTACAATTAACTCAAATTTTAATTTAAACTTATCTAGTTCAATGATATAGTAGATATCTTTGTTAGTGTAGTCGTTGGTGCGTTACCGTGTCATCCTATTATAGTTAAGTTTGAATCTTAAGTTTAAAAGAGAAGTTATCTCATTTTTATCAAAAAAATAAAAAATTAAACATGTCACTATTTTATTGGAGATGAACATTTATCGAGAAAAATAACACGCGTCACGTTGAATAAGACAATATTTAGGGAGATTTAATGATTTTATAACGACAATGATCAAATTGATAACGTCTTAAAAATTGATGTCTGGGTTGTAATAAATTTGGTTGTAGTGGCAAAATTACAAGCACCCTACAAATTGAATGACCAATTAAGAGTTTCCCCCTTCTTTTTCTACAAAAGTTGATAATATTTTTTTCCGGTTAAATATAAAAAACAGTAACTAATCAATTCAGCGAAGAAGGGCCATAGGTCTCCTTACCAACAAGAGGCCGAATGGAGGTCGACGACAAATCAAACGTACCGAACATGTAATCACGAGATAGATCCATCAACAAAACTCCAGAAACCATCCACGAATACCAAGCGAGCTCTAACCAAGGGAAGCGGAGTCTAGGGTCGTTGAGGAGTTTGCTGGGATTGAAGATGTTTTCACTTCTTCAAGGGGTTCCACCAAGACTCTTGGTAACTTTGTCAAGGTATTGAGTTTTTCTTAAGTTTTACTTATTTGAATTCTTGTTGTTTAAATACTATTTATGGATTAAGATCAATTTGGAACTTTGGTGTTATATATGTTAGTTTCCTGCTGCTGAACTTTTGGATTTATTTTCGCTATTATTTCTTATGGTTTGTTTAATGGTTTTGGCTTGTTCAAAATTATTGTTTGGTCAAAAAAATTGTTGATATTAGTATATTTAGCTTAATAAACGAACTTAAACAAACACACATTATCACAACCTTGTTTGTTTGAGCTCGGTTCATTTTATGTGCACTATTGTTGTGCAGTGCTTGTAAATTGTTTGGAAAATTAGGGTGCCTTCATGCTTGATAGCTCTGCTTATTTTCTTATTCTTGTGAATGTAAGTAAATGCAGGCCACCTTTGAGTTGAGTGTCTTCTGAAAACTTATGGTTTCTTGACTCCTGATTTCTGGAAAGACACTCGATTCACGAGGTCTCCTTTCCAAGAGTATACTGATCTGTTGGGGAAGCCATCGAAGACTCTTGTACTCGAAGACGTTGAGAGGGTGGATGTATGACGAAGGGGATCGACCAGTCACTACTTAGATGTGGCTTCAATGCCTCGGAATAGTAATATGATGTTACTTTTGGCTTCAACCCTTTTGCTTTCTTTGTTTTTTTTATGAGATATTCGGTAGCTTTTCTGCAGCTGAAGACTGTTTTCACTTTTATGGATTCTATAGAATATTGCAGTTTACATATGCTCTAAGGTCATTTTTTACACGTTTGGCGATTGTGCATTCACATTCTATTTATGCACACGTGCTACTTTATTCGGACTTGGGGTGAGTGACATATACTATGTTATTCTTTATGTTGAGATTACGGGCCTGGATTAGGCGTGATATGGGTATTTCGGAAGGATACTACAACCCATCTGCCACTGGTGTCTCAGATGATAGCTCCTGCCCCTGCATTTACTGGATTGTTGACAGAACATCCATCTGAATTAAGCTTAAACCATCGAAGGGATGGTGGTACCCCGCTTACACTCACCGCACAGAGGGAATTGGTTGAAACCAAGGGGGAGGAGATAAGGTCGGCATGATACTCGGCAGCCTTTAAAAGAGCCTTGGTTTCCTCTACAGATTCTCAGTCATTGTGAGCCATATCTGTGTAGCAACGAAGCAGAACATGAGTTTCCAAGTAATTCTATGTTCATTATGCCAAATCGTGGAGCTCAGCTGTGAATGCATCCAATCCTTAAACCTTACCATCGGGTTTGGTTGGTTAACATTACTAGGCCATAGTCGATTTCACAAAGCTTGCGAGATGATACAAACCGATGTTGAATGATTTCAGGGTGTTAGTCATAAAAATGGCACTACTCATCGAGTTGAAGTCCTCGTTTGGTCTTAGTAGGTAAGGCCTTATGCATGCCTAGAGAAAGAAGTTAATTTTGGGTGGAAAATGCCTTTCCAAATAGAACTCCAGTTAAGGTACACGGTGGACTCATCTTTCACCGATGACATCTTATTGCAATTATCATTGTCACCCCACATAAATCTACTATTGATTTTGTCAAGCTCTGGGCAAGTTCTTTAAGTGATTAAACCCAAATAAATCCCAATGTTGGTAATGGTTTTCATATTCAAGAAATTGGAAATATTATCCTGAACCCCTAGGTATTTGGGAAAACAGTATTTTATTTATTTATCCACATTAATTTTTTTGTTTCTATTCTGCCATGAACCCCTCAAGGATTGTATGCATGTTATTTACCGTATTCGCATCACTCATTGCAAAAAGACAAGGAGTTTGCAATTAAGCATCGTCCTGTTATGTACACCAAGGATTTCAAGTATGCAAGGTTTGTAGAGAAGTTTCGATCTCAATCTCGTCTTGCCTAGTTTCTCCACTGATTCGGCTTCTTCGGAAAATGCTTCGGTACTCGGGGAAGATAACAAGACGTCGACGGCCACGATGTCTGTCAAGTAAAATATTATATGGTAGTTTTATGTTATAGAAGAGAATAGAAATCGGTGTAAGTGTTGGATATAGATACATATATCACTATATATGACATGAAAATATTTAGCTGTTGTCTAATAATGAAGTTTATTTCCATGAAGATTCTAAATAAATACTCCATATAATTAAAAAAAAAAAAACATGCAATTATGAGACCAGAACAAATCTAGGTTTATGTTATACGAAGATTAATCTCAATCCACTTTTACGTTGTTTGATGGCAATGGACTGCTAGCTGTCTCTGTTCGATTCGTTTGAGGCTGACACAGTGCTGCTGCCATCTTATCGTACAGCTCCATGTTCATCGACTGCATCCAAAAAAAATATTTATATTAGTTGATATCAGAAGAAAAAGCAGCAAAATCCCAACATTTCACGTACTTGAGTTAGGAAAGCCCAAGATGGGTCAGGCAAAGGGATGGGGGCATTAGAGCTGCCACTTGTATTCGCTTGAGTTGCTGCACCGTAGGCTACGGCTCCTGAAGGAACCATAAGCGGTGGTGCAGCTGTCGTGAAGGGTGGCGGAAGATGCAAAAGAGATTGGGAAGCGTTGCGTGCCATGGAGGTGGCGTTGATATCTAGCAATCCCATGCCCATTCCTAAGCCATGATGGTTAACACCCATGCCTCCCATTATCCTACTTAAAACAGACATTTGTAGCTGTTGCTGCTGCTGGTGGTGCAGACCTAGATGCATCATCATCATGGGATGGATGCTTCTCATACTCATCATCTGAACTTGTGCTTGCTGTTGTTTCAAGTATTCTATCACTTCGTCAAGCATTGATGCTTTATCTGTCTATAATAATATCGTAATCGTATTGATATTTGAATCTCAAACTTGTTAGATGTAACTTATATTTAAACTCGACTCCACTCGATTACGTTCCTTATTGTTATTACTGTATTACCTTGCTTGCATTTGGCACCAGCTGCTGTCGGGTCTTCATCTTTTGATTAATTCTATCTCTTCGTTTCTGCTACAACAAAATAAAAATCGTGAAAAAAACCCCCGCATAAATCTTGTATTTTGATTCGAGCAGATGGAGATCGGACTGCAATTTAACCCTTTCAGAGAGATTATGAATAGCTGCTGCTCGACTTCGTCTTGTCGAGTGAGATCGACCTGTTTCATCTCGGCTTTCCTATAAATTTTCACGGTGTGAGTTCAGATAAAATTGTATTCACTAATCAAATTGTTAAAAAGAAAGGCTTGTTCTTTCTACCGATCCATCATGGAAACCAGAGTCGCCGCCGTCGGTGGTTTTCGTTTTCAAGCTCCGAAGAGATTCACGGGAACCCGAAGTCACCATCGTCGCATCGTTATCGACCTTGTGAAATGTACCACTGGCGTGCACTGCGGTCACCTCTATCTTCTTGAGCCTATGCATGGCTGCTAACTGACCATTTCGCCATGTTTGCTCTGCAACTTCGTAGTTGGACCTGAATTACAAGCAAAAATAATCATAAAGAAAAAAAAAACATTGGAAAGGACATAGTAATTTAAGGTGGTAAGAGTCCATACAAGGGGACAACGTTGTTAAACGAAGATCTGTCGACTTCTTTCTCCTTCGTCGTCTTCTTCGACATGTTGTTGTCTTGGTCTTTGGTGTTTAAGATTCCAATTTGGCACCAAACACTGACTCATGATGATGAGTTTATTCTTTCAAACTCGTTCTCTTGTTTTGTCTTAATTTATGGCCAATCTCCAAGTCCAATTTGGAGTTGGAGTTTAAACTCTCTTGTTTTCTTTTCTTTGGGGTCCCATGAACATGTGGTAGCCAAAAAATGTTGGATATGCTTTGCCCTTCGCCACCATTTTCAATCTATTTATTACCCATATAATCATTCCATATTTAGTTTATCATCAATCGATTAACTTTCCATATTTGAATCCTTATATTAGATTTGGTACTTTCGTGAGTAGTTTTCTCATATCGTTCGGCTCTAATTAGCACTTTGCCGGTGACTTTTCAATAACATAATCATTTTTATGGTTCATTTGTCGATGCAGTCAAACTTATTCGTATCTTCCTTTCGCTCGAGTTTTTTTTGTTAGGATTTTAACCTCTTCATTGTATGGTCATTGTGTTTAGTTAATGTAATAGTTGTAAACATTCATTGTAATTCTAGTATTTGATATTTTTACTAAAACTAGTTGCTTTTATCCGTAAAAAATGATATTTTTAAAAGTTCGGGGACCAATTCAAAATAAGAGTCATAGTTTTGAGACATATAGTGCAATAGCATAATCACAAAATTACCCTACAAATAATCACTTTTTCTCATATTCCTTTTTTTAGCATTTTAGCCCCTAACGTTTCAATTTTTGGTCAAATTATCCCTTATTGAAAGGTAATCATTAGTTGACTAACGATCGACACATAATATGACATTTTTAAACATATGAAAATGTTAAATTAACAATATGTGTTGATCGTTAGTCATCTAACAATTTCCTTTCAATGAAAGACATTTTGACCAAAAAAAAGAAACGTTGAAGGCTAAAATATTAAAAAGAAATATAGACTAAAATGATCATTTGTGCAAACGTTGAAGGTAATTTTATCATTACGTCTTGTGTAATTAAATCAAAGAATTGAAATTTTTTCTCCCAAACCTCTTATCTACATCTTTTTTCTGGTTGTCCTCTCGATTTCAAGGTTTCGTCATGACTAATTCGAACCTGACTTTGATAGGTTAATCTCTCGATAAGGATTTAATTGATGGTACTAATAAGAGACTAACCGCTAACAAATATTTATCTCAATGAACTAAACTTCCTTAAACGATAATATAATCTATTTTTAAAATTATAAATCACACGATTTATGATTACTAAAAAATAATTAGAAGAACAGATTTACTATAAATTTATTTTTCAATTTTCTTTTGAAAGAAATAAAAGTCTTGGGACAATGGGAGGGACATATTCATATCATATTATATGTTATTGAGTACATTTATTTGTATAAAGCTTTCATATTTTTGGCATGTAGGCTACAAGTCTCATAGAATAGGACCCCCAGATTTAATTAAATTCTATCTACGGTTGATGGGTGAGAAAGATTTTCATTAAAATTAATATCACAAAATTTAATAATATTTATCAAAGAAATAAATTTCATCCTCATCTCACAACGTTTATGTCTTGAACAAAAGGTTTTATTTATTGGAATAAATTTGAGTTTTTTAATAAATAAAAAAATGGTTCGAAAATCGAATGTAATATCTAATATCAATCAAGGTTTAATCTTAAAATAGATTTTATAATATTTGAATCATTATAACAGTCGGTATATTTAGTTACATTAATTTATTAAATATAGAATATTAATATTAATAATAATATTAATATTAATAAATATTAGCTGCATTTATTAAGATAATATTGATGATAAACTACGTATTTAGTACTTAAATTATCTATTTTAGTATTTAAACTTTTATTTTTTTTAAATCATACCTTATGTTTAGTTTTTGTTTCATTTTAGTACATCGTCGTTAAAAACGTAACGTGTTTAGTACCTAAACTATCAGCTTTGGTCTGTTTTCGTACTTAAACTTCCAATTTTTTCAAAATCATACCTAACGTTTAGTTTTTGTTTCATTTTAGTACTCACCATTAAAAATGTAACGTGTTTAGTACTTAAATTGACCCGTATGGGGTTGATGGTTGATACGAGTTGCGTCCTTTGTGGTTCGGGGATTGAGAGTAGGGATCACCTATTTTATAACTCGATGATATAATGTAAATAAAAAGTAGACCCACAAAACGCATCTCAAACAGTTTTGCAATCAAATTTTATTATATCTCAGTCGGTATATTAACATTTAACTCAGACAACTGTCAATTACTTAACAGAAAAAGATAAATTTGAAATATATAACTAATCAAATAAATATTTTATGATTTTTAATAATCAAAATCTTCAATAAAATATTATCCCATAATCTGAAATTATTTTATAACTATATCGTCGGACCATTTGTATACCTTAAATTTAATATTATCGTGTTTGGTTAAAAGAATAAAATACTATTGATATGTATATTTAACCAAATTGTCCTTATTATATATTTATTTTTTTAACAAGTTGGAATATATTTATATATTTTCTTTGAAAAATTTAAATTCATAAAATTTATATAATTTTTTTACAAAATTAACAATATAAAAAGGTTTAATGAAAGAGTAAAATTTTATTTTAACCCCTGAATTTCATATAAAATTTTAATTATAGATTTTTTTGTAAATCTAAAATAGTTTAAGGATAAATTTATAATTTAACCTTCGTAGAATTTTTATTATTCAATGACAATGACAATGACAGAATAATGATATTTTTGAAAAAAAATTTAAGGACATTTTAGTCCAAAATACCGGTAATCCAACAATACCTAAGGAAATGGAGGTAATGACATTCCCGATAATATACCCAAAAAAATTCACTATTAATAATCTTATATTATCGAAAATGAAATTCTCAACTAATCAAACGAGAGAATATGAATTTCATTCTTATATAAATCTCATATTCCCTCAACCAAACGCCCTGAACTAAACAGTTACGCTTGCATGAAATTATTCAATAGTTCATAAACATTAGTAAGTGGCCAATTTTCCAAATCTCTGTCGGCAAAGGTCACCACGAAGAGACCAAGTAAAAATTACTTTATAAATATATTTTTAATACAAACTGTGGTGGCCAACTGGCCGTCGGCGGATCTCCGCTGTAGCTTATAAGTATACATAAAATTATAAGAAATTTAGAGTTTAATTTCAGTTTGTTTGGGGTTAGACTTAGATCTTTGTCTCTGCTCCAAAACTATGGTTTCCCTTTGGCCACTAACTTTGATTTGCATTTTAGCTTTTTCAATCTCCATTACTCACTGCAAGACTCTCAAGAGAGATGGTCAGTTTTTCCTTTCTGCTCTTCCCACTTAGATCTTCCCTTCATTGTTCTGTTTGGTTGGTGAGAAAGTTTTTTTCTTTTTGAAAATTGCTGAGAAAGTTTAGCTAGAAAAAATTGAGAATTAAAAAAAATACCCAGAATGTCATTTTTTTTGTTAAAATGTAAAACCCACCATTTTCTGATTCCAAATTAACGTTTTCTTTTAGTAATTGTGTTCTTTTTGCTTCTTTACTTATGTTTTCATCTTCTTTAGAGATGGTTTTTTGCTTTATTATTTGTCAGTCAGATCTTTACTTGCTGCTCATTTAGCTTGAATTAGTTTAGAGCAACTTGAATTGATCTTTGGTTAAGAATTTAGATCCAAGAATCTGTTTTGTTGTAGTTATCATCATTGAGAAGATTAAAATAGAATGTAAATATGCTTGATGAAACGGCTTGATATTTGATGTGTGCTTTTTTGTTGGCAGTGAAAGCCTTAAATGAGATAAAAGCATCACTCGGATGGCGAGTTGTATACGCGTGGATCGGGGATGATCCTTGCGGAGATGGGGATTTACCGGCTTGGTCCGGTGTAACTTGTTCGACTCAAGGAGACTATAGAGTTGTTACTGAATTGTAAGTATTGCAATCTAAGAAATTCTGTGCATAATATGCTTATTAGTGAAAAGGTATGTTTTTGCTTCACAAATGCAATCTAATCAACAATGCAAAAGCCTTCCGCTATTGATTCTCATCATATGTATACTGTTTTAGTTCCACTGGTATCTTGTCTCGTTTTAGAGGCTAGGGAACTCATTCGAGTGAAAACTTTTCTGCCTTGATTCATTGTTGTTTGTTATTCTATATGCTTTTATCGACTCTTAGATCATCATTATTTCCATTTTCTTTTACAGGGAGGTCTATGCAGTATCGATTGTTGGTCCTTTTCCTATTGCTGTAACTAATTTATTGGATTTAACAAGACTGTGAGTTCATTCTTTCTCATCCATTAAGTCTCAAAGGTCAATGAAACATGTTCCTTTTTTTTCCCGACTGTATCCGAGCTGTAACTTACAAGATCAAGTTCGGGTTGACATCAATTATTTCAAGTCTTTTAGGAGTTTGAATAATGCATGTACTTGAGTTTCATTTCCTGCTTTTGGTCCGTAGAACATGCAGATGAAATCAGCATTTTAAATTAGTAAGCATGTATGAATAAATATGCTACTTTTGTACTTTTCTTATACTTTCTAGTATAAAGTGGATTAAAAATTGAGAATAAAAAAACACTTGCCGATAACTTGAAAGCTTGATGCAAGCATGGATTCTTTAGATATCACCCTTGTATCTTTTCAATCAATTGCCTTGCACGTTTAATGTGGATTTACGTGTGCTTAACTTGTACACCACTAAATTCAAATTTGATGCTTTTAATGTTCACATAAATTACGCTCCCCCGAAATAGTGATGAAATTATATGGTATCTTATTATGTGGTTAGTCGTGGATCTCGCTTACAAAAAGCATTTATATTTACAAAATAATCATTGTTGTCGATTAGCACTATCATGTAGATGTTCTAAATGAAACTTCTTTCCTTGTTGACTTTGCTAATGTGACAGGGATCTCCATAACAACAAGTTGACTGGCCCAATTCCTCCTCAAATTGGCCGACTGAGACGACTTAGAATGTTGTATGTTTTCTTCATTATACTGTTATGCAGCAGACTTTAGAATTACTCTTTCTCTCTGAATATCAGCATGGATCAACTCGTTTCATATACTTTATACTGCATTTTGCCACAAGATAAAAAATTATGATTTCCGGGTCTTTATCATTAGTGAAGTAATTGCTCTGAAGTATGCTATACACCAGTTAGGCTGTAGCTTGTTGCTATGTTACTTGGACTTTGGTGTGATTGTTGGTACAATTATGCGTCGAACATGTAAGTGTTTACCTTTTTCTATGGTTTTCGATATTGGAGGGTCAAATCCCTATACTCATATCCAAAACAATATGTCCGACAGGTTTTGGACACGGGTACTTAGAGAAAAAAATAGTCAGGAGCATCATAGGAGAAGTCCTATAAATATTAAAACCTTATCAGCGTTTCTAGATTATACTCATCAGTTGATCCAAGCTTTATATTTCGATATTAACCATGTTGTGATATCTAGACCATATTTAAAAGCACCATTTATTTTCAATGAAAGAATGACAGATAATGTTGACAAAAGCAATTTATTTCGTTAAATTTGGTTATCTTCCATCTGTGAAAACGTTTCTTTCAATTTCTAATGACCAACTTCAATGTATTGCATAGAAATTTGAGGTGGAATAAGCTCCAAGATGTCCTTCCTCCCGAGATTGGTGAGCTTAAAAGAATGACCCATCTGTGAGTAACTTGCTCTTATATTTCCCGGAATATCTTTCTCCGTGTTGAATGGTTTAAGTATTTGTATATACATGTATGTCCGAATGAGTTTGGAAATATCTAATTGAAATTTCTTCAGGTCCTTGAGCTTTAACAATTTTAAGGGCGAGATTCCAAAGGAGCTCGCAAGTCTACCTGAGCTCCGCTATCTCTACCTTCAAGAAAACCGTTTCACTGGACGAATTCCACCCGAATTGGGCACTTTACAAAACCTTCGGCACTTGTAATATACTGTTTACTTTTTGCTTTATCTTACTATAACGATCTTTCTTTCATTATTATGCTGAAAACTCGTTTTTTTCTTCAGGGATGTTGGTAATAATCATTTGGTTGGTACCATTCGGGAGCTTATTCGTATTGAAGGCTGCTTTCCGGTTCTACGCAATCTGTATGTTATATTTAATTGTTAATGTCCATGTGATCGAGTGCAAAGTTTCTTAAGTTTGCGTTTGATGCAGATATTTGAATAACAATTATTTGACCGGAGGAGTTCCGGCTCAGCTCGCAAATTTGACAAATTTGGAGATACTGTAAGTGCGAATAATGCTTCGATTTAAGTAATAATCGAACCAATTTGTATTTACGGGACTCTTCGTCTTTTCAAGTTTTGGCCTCCCTTCAACTTCTCTTACTTTTTTGTATCGTTTGCAGGTACCTTTCATACAACAAGATGTCTGGAGTGATACCAGCGGCACTCGCCCATATTCCGAAACTGACATATTTGTGAGATTTTCTAAAACACTAGAGTCCAGTTCGATTTAGAAATTCGGACGAATTCTATTTCCGAGGCTCTCACTATCTTGCTGTTAAACGCTTTTTCTTTTTCGTGTTCTTTGCTCCTATGCTTAACATCTACTCTCGAACATCGATGATACCAGCTACTTGGATCATAACCAATTCTCAGGACGGATTCCCGATGCATTCTATAAGCATCCTTTATTGAAGGAATTGTGAGTCGTTTTCGTCGCTTAGTTTACGAGCCAAGAAACCACAAACGTGGGGGAATGAACAAATATCTAACCCTCTGTTTTACACCAAATGCAGGTACATCGAAGGGAACGGATTCCGACCCGGAGTGAACCCCATCTGTACACACAAGGTCCTTGAACTCTCAGACACAGATTTCTTGGTTTAAGCAAAACTGTCGAGAGAACCCAACCTGATTGTCCGAATTTTCAATTAATATTGCATTCGTTTGTTTCAATAGAACATATATTTTACATATGGTCTGAAAGAAATATAAATGATCGCATATCACATTTGTATTAATGAAATTTCAAGATTTGTCAAGAGGAAGATGTTAGCCAGTATTTTAGTTAAAACGATGCCGTTTTAAAAAAAATTAAATTTTCACAAAAACAACGTTATTTTGCATTTATATCCGAACATTTATTTATATGATAATATAATTCGTAATCATTTATAAGTATAATAATTCAAATATTATGGTATGAATATAATAAGTCACATTACATCTAAAGCCACATCCAGTGATTAAAAAAATAAAAAATAATTAAATTACTAAAATGATCTTTCTCCATCTTTAGTTGTATAATCTCTAGAGCCTTGAGACTGATCATCACTTACGCCACAGCAGGCATGTTCTACAACCAAGGATCGAGCGGCTTCCCGATCGAATACACAATGAAACCAATCTCCCTCAACATCTCGACATCCATGACGTTACGACCGTCGAACACAAATGCCGGCTTCTGCATGTTGTCGAAAATTCTCCGGTAATCGAGCGTCTTGAATTCGTCCCATTCCGTAAGAATGCACATGGCATGAGCGTCCTTGGTTGCGGCGTAAGCATCCCACGCAACGCTCACTTGCTTCACCGAAGTGGGACTCATCGGCTGGAGATGGATCGGGTGATCCCAATCAAACTTGTTCATCGTCAAGTCCCTCTGGATCTGATCCTCGGTGACCTGTGGATCGTATATGCTCAAGCGTGCCTGATCACCCAGCAGGCCTTTGCAAACATCGATGGCTGGAGTCTCCCGCGTGTCGCCTGTATCCTTCTTGAATGCGAATCCAAGGATGGCAATTTTCTTACCTGAAACCGTGTTGAACATCGACGACACGACCCTGTTTACGAATCGGTTCTTCTGGTAATCATTCACTTTAATAACTTGTTTCCAGTAGTTTGCAACTTCAGGCAGTCCATGGCATTCACATATATAGACCAAATTCAATATATCCTTTTGAAAACAAGATCCACCAAAACCAACACTGGCATTCAAAAACTTTGAACCGATTCTCGAGTCCTTACCGACGGCATGGATACTTGGGAAACATCGGCACCGGTGGACTCACAGAGAGCTGACATTGCATTAACCGATGAGATACGCTGAGCCAAGAATGCATTGGCGGCGAGCTTCGAGAGCTCTGCGGACCAAAGATTGGTCGTAATGATCTGGTCTTCGGGCACCCAATGAGCATAAACATCTTTCAATGCTTGAATTGCCTTTAAACCCTCGGGGGTTTCCCTGCCTCCAATTAGAACCCTGTCCGGATAAAACAGGTCCTGAATTGCAGTTCCTTCAGCTAGAAATTCTGGGTTCGACAGGATCTGATATTTGATCCCTTTGCTATTGTGGGTCAGGATCCGTTCGATCGCTTCCGCCGTTTTCACCGGGACAGTCGACTTCTCGACAACAATTTTGTTCGATTTCGATACATCAGCAATCATCCTGGCTGCACTCTCCCAATATGTAAGGTCAGCAGCCTTGCCAGCTCCAAGACCTCGGGTTTTCGTCGGCGTGTTCACGGAGACGAAGATTATGTCAGCTTCCGAGACATGTTTCTCGACGTCGGTGCTGAAAAATAGGTTCTTTCCCCTGCACTGCTTGACCACCTCATCAAGACCAGGCTCGTAGATCGGCAATTGGTCACCATTCCAGGCCAAGATTCGAGAAACCGAGATGTCGACAACGGCTACTTCGATCGAAGGGCAGTTGAGTGCAATGACTGCCATAGTAGGACCTCCAACATAACCAGCTCCAATGCAACAAATCTTCACCATTTCTTCGGGGGTTTCCACAACCTAAAAGAACGAGAATTTAGCATTATGTTGGAAACACAGATTTCCATCAATGATTGCTGATCAAATATAAATTTTCTCGGGAAACAACACTGCTCTTCACTCAACGATTACGAACAAACATAAATTTTCTTAAATTAAAACCTTATCCGACACTCATCGTGCACGAATTCCAAGTAACACAGAGTTAAATAAAGAAAAAATGGGAAATCCAATAACAAAACATATCAAACATAAACAACTCTCCCCCACTGAAACATTCAATCAAACATGCTGAAGGCAAACAAATGAAAATCATAAAGAGAAGCTCAAATCATACCTTGAAACCAAAAGGTAAGGGGAAGGAGAACAAAATAATAATAAGAAAGACCCAATAGCAAGAGGTCCTTAAATAACCCCAGAAAACGTGAAATTACTTCAGATCTAAAGTGTAGCTTTCACACATGAAAGTCGGATTTTCAGTGAAAAAGGAAGAAGGGGGAATGTTCAACACGTTTTCAAAGCAACACCAATGACTGTCACCTGTCAAAAACTGTTCATTTCTTTTATCATTTCACGCTTTGTGAATATTGGGATTTTGATTTCCGTTTAATGAATTCAATGGAATTTGAAGAAATCCCATTGCATTGAATTCAAGTTTGGTTGGTTTTTTAAAGAATCGATGTTCTTCTGACAGCAGCGGTAATTGCCAATTGGGCAAATGGCTCAACCTTTTACACCAAAACGCGTTCTGCGCTGTATATACGTTTCTTCTTTTTTCCCTTTTAAGATTTGGCAATTTTTTACGTAATTATTGAGTTAATTGCATCATATGTTCTCAAATAATAACATCATTTTAAATTGGTCTTTAAACGTTTAAATATTCTAATTTCATCCCAAACTATATGTGTATACTAGTCATATTCATTGTTAATAAAATCGGCTATATTTTTGAAAACAAAATAAACTTTAGGTTAAACTATGGTTGAACCTAATTACATATTTGGATGAATTTGGGAATGAAATTGGAAAATTCAAAAGTTTAAGGACTAATTTAGAATGAAAGTTATAGTTTAGGGACTAAATTGGAATAATAAAAAATTTAAAGACCAATTTACAATGGTAGTATAATTTGGGACATATGTGCAATTAACTCGTAATTAATTCCTAGTTAATATTATTTCATGGATCGGCAGTGTGAAAAACATATAGGATAAATTACAAGTTTAGTACTTAAACTGTTAGTTTTGATCTGGTCTAGTATCTAAATTTTTGATTTTTTAAATCTTAACGTTAATTTTGTACGAGGAACTAAACACATTAATTTTTCAACGGTGGGTACTAAAATGAAATAAAAACTAAACGTTAGGTATAATTTTGAAAAAATTAAAAGTTTAGATACTAAAATAGACCACAACTGATAGTTTATGTGCTAAATGTGTAATTTACCTTAAAATATATTATATACTATTTTGCACACTGAGGAGCAAAAAATATATTTTATAAATAAATTTTATGATTGATATATGTCATATTTAAATGATATAAGATCGGTACGAATCAAACAATTCCAGTTGTTAAGTAATTTGTTGTTATCCTTTAAGATCTTATGTTTGAGCATCACATATGTGAGTGGTATGTGCCTTCATTGTTAAAAGGTTGAAAGTTTTTGAAGAAATAATACCTTGTATTCACCTCATATATATAAAAAATGATTTAAAATGATGGTTAAATTACACTAATGGTACATTGGCTATAGGACGATACTTTGTTCAATCTTTTTATTATTAAAAGTTAAAAAAGTATTCTCCGACTATATGACGTTGTTTTGTTGAGTCACTTGATTATTAAAAAGTTAAAAAGTACTAGTTCGAAACATATGAATAGTTAGATGATCATTTTAAAACTTTTACTAGTTGAGGGACTCAACAAAACAACACGCTATAATTAAGAGATCATTTTATAACTTTAAATAGTCGGAGACAATACTCTATAACTAGGACATTTGTATAGTTTACCCTAAAATTTTAAGTTATGATATGTAGTTAAAACTTTAAATTTTAAATAATATTTAAATGATATACTATTTTAGTTCTTAAAATTTGATTAAATATCATTTAAATTATATTTTTAGATTCACATTATGATGTTTAAAATAATATTTTATTTTTTTAAAATACATTTTAACAAAGTTATTTCTGAATTTTAAATTAGAATTTTTAAAATAATTTTTTTTAGAATCAATTTTCAGAAACATATTTTCTCCGTAATTTAAAAACAATATTAAACCAACTCTTAGATGTCTAAAAGTTGAGAAATAGCGTGGTTCTTGAGCACAAAAGATTTCATTTAAATAGCTGATTAAATAATTAATCGCTACAAATCAATAGTAAACAAATTGTATTTTTTATAAATAATTAAATTTGACTAAAAAAAAGTAAGAATGAAATTGATAAAAGAGATGTAAAATTTAAAAACTAAATTTATTATTAAATAATTATCATTACATTCTTAATAAAAAAACATATTGAAAGGGACAGTCAAAACCTCCAAACGTGGACTACAATAGCAGAATTGGAAGATAGGAAGAATGAATGGGGGCAGGCCTAATCAAGTCTTGGAAAGAAAGGTCAAGTATGGTGGAGAGTTTGACCTAATTTCAAAGCCTCTTGATTGTTGGTTTGCGATTCAACAGTTAAATGCCAAACATGAAAAATAACAATAACTATTTGAAGAGTAATTGATTAGGTTTTGATTGAGTTTTGATGAGTCGTCCAAAAAATTTCGGAGCGACTTTTGGCTTAATTCATGGGGTTTACTATTAAACTGAAATGCCTCTAGCAATAACAATTTAACCTAAATTTAATAAATTCCTGACTCCCATCTTATTTAAAATGTATTAACATAACTACCTCAATAGTTTAAAGGAATGATTAGTAGTCCCCCATCTTATTTAAAATATATATATATATATATATATATTAACATAACTACCTCAATAGTTTAAAGGAATGATTAGTAGTCCTAGAAATCTCAAATTCAAGCACTAGATAAACATTCGTTGTTATTAAATGATTAAACTTGTAAGCACCTTAGATTAAAACATATTAATATCAAATTTTATATTTGATTAGGCCCCATCATTCAAATAATAGAAAAAAAATACTCCAACCTAACCCAAGGTAATAAAGATTTTTTATATGTTTGGGAAAATTCTTATCTATGACTTTTTTCAATTAAATCTATA